CTAACCCGAAATTTTCCGTCACGTTTACGCCGCAACAGGCGGGGGGCATTTTCCAGAAGACAGGAAAAAGGTTCGCAAGGTCGTGTCCCTTTCGCACACGCGTCGCCGCGCGCGCATACATGCACGCGTACACACGGGGTGTAGGGTATTCCATATGAATCTCTCTGGAGTGGTAACACGTGTACGGGCGCGTCCTACACGCGGGTCCGACACACGAATCGCGAATTCGGCCCCTCCAATCGGCTAAACTCGACGGCAGGGAAAACGTTGATGGCGACGCCGGGGATGATGGTGGTGGTGGTGGTGGTGGGCGATGGCGGCGTCGGTGGTGGTGGTAGTCGATGTATCAACCCCACTCACTCGAGGATTAGCCTTCGAGATCGCTGACTGCTGAAATGTTCACAGATCGGTTTACCGTTTAGCAGGATAGAGAGTGTGAGCCCCGTGATCCATGGCCCGTGTGAGCACCGACCCCACACACGATCATCACACGTGCACGCTTCCCAAACACACAGCCCCCGAATCCCGCACGGCCGCGTCCCCGTTCTCGCCTCGGCTATATTTGTCACTTGTATACTCGCTTCCTTATCCGCTTGGTTTTTTGCTGTCCGCCGTTTCGCTATTCGCCCAAGTTTTCCCGTCGACGGTTTTTCCTCGGCCTTTTCCCTCTCGCCGCTTAAGCTGATCGGTCTTAGCGAAGCTCATCGGAACTCGTTAGATCCGTTATCGATCGAACGATTCGTCGATTTCTTGTTTCGATTGGTTCACTCCGAGTAGCTTGGTAGGAGATTTTAAAGCAATCTTGTTCTGATTTACTCGGTACAGAATGAATCGAGAGGTAGTGCTCATTCTTGAGTAGGTAATCAAAGGAACAAGTTCTCGAAGTATTAAACAAATGATTTTCTGTATTAGCTTCTCTCGGCTGAGTACCTTATCCTAAACTACACAATTGGGAAAAAGGATTCTGTTACAACCAGTTGCCGAGATACTTAAGAAACATTTTCATCCCCTAACTCTCACATCCGTTTCCCAACACGTACGACGACGCATAAACGCAATATATATCTATCAAGTGCTTCATCAAGAACTACTAAATTCACTCAGATCAAGATCTACGCGAACTACCCCATCGCGTCCGAGCTCCATCCCCTTCAATTCACGCGTATCAATGCGGATTTAAGACGCTAAGACGAGGCCCGATCGTCCTCGGCGTCCCCTCCGAGTTACGTTACCGATCAAGAAACAGGGGACACCCCCTGTTGCTCCATTTTCCTTACAAATCACCCCCGGCCGGCTACGTTCTCCCGTTCTCCTCGCGCGGCCTACGGTCAGCATTTTTCTTCTATCCGTCGATGAATGACAAAACGTGGTCCCGCGTCGCGCGCGCGTACACAGAGAGCCGCAGCTCGGGCTGTGGGAACTCGCATTGTGGACCACACGTGGCACGCGAGCATTACGGGGGCAGGCTCGTGGCTTCTGTGTGCGCCGGATGTGCCGTGGACGAGCCGCTGGAGAGACAGGGACGCCCGGCTGAATGGAAAAGGGAACAGGGCGCGGTCCATTCCAGCGCATGCGATCCTAATCCCCGCGTCCATTCCACGTCCGGATCGCGAGTACGCGCGTACTCGCAAAATCGCCCTCTTAAGCCCCTCACGCCGGGCGAAAAATTGTTCCGGCGAATTAAGAGAGGAGACGTGCACGCTCGCCGCGCGCTGGGACCGTCCGTCGGACATCCACGGTGAAATTCGAGGTTCGCCCGTCGAGACACTGGAACACGTCCTTCCGGATCGTTCGTTCGGTATCACCTTTTCGACGTTTCATTTCCGTCGGAGTTGATATCGTGATTTAAGGAGCGTTAAATTCTGCTTGTTTCTCGGCACCGAAGGGTGGAATTGGGGATTTGTTCGCTGGCGAAAGTTGGAATAACTGGTACCTGCTCGGAGACGTGGGAGTTTCATGGGATAATTGTTGCAGCTTGTTGCTCCCTTGGGTGGATTTATGTATACTTTGTGATGAAGATGGGGTGTTATTTAGAGGGTTCGATTTTATGGTTGAGTGGACGTTGAGTTACTTCGGCTGTGGTATGTTTTGTGGTAGAATTGATTATGATGAGAGTTTTGGGAGAGTTTGGTCATTGGACAATCGGGGATGATAGTAGGTTTGGAAGTTTGTGGTTAAATAATTGGAACTAGTATTGGACAGTTTATTTTCAAGCTGCGGTTCACTCGTAACATAGCGTGCGCGGTAAATGAATATAAATTGGAAATATTTTATAAAGAATTCAATTAATGGAAACCGATTGAATGTTTACTGTGAATCGGAAGGAATTATTTGTTTTGATATTTAACGGTACACGCGTAGCAGTGTAAATACCATTATGTTCTGGAATCAATAATATTTATACCAGAATCATCAAATTTCGTAAGTGTGAATAATCCCTAATATATTAGGAAAAAACAATTTTCATTGGTCTGCTTGTCCAGCCGTTATTTATTGTTATCATTCAATAACTATTGCATCCGCAGTAATCATACAATCTAAATGTTTGAAACGAAAATACACTGTTCCCTGTACATTTATTTAATCCCTACCGCTATTATTGTTTAAAGGCCGATGAAAATTGCGAGCTCGTTTATCGCAAGGGGGAAAAATGAAAACGAGGATGCTTTTAAATATGATAGAACGTTCTAATATCCCGACTGCGTGCTGCATGCGAGGAAGTTTGCTTACAAAGCAAACAACCGCGCACCACCCGCTGTTTTTTTCCTCCAGCAGGGTGTTCGATGGTGGAAAAACAATTATTACACTCGGAAAATAATAATATTTGTACCTGTTCCGATGCACGGCCAATTTAGTCGATAAAACAAATAGACCCGAAGCGGATTTTCCCGCACCTTACTTTCGAAACGTATACACTCGCCATCGTAGCACGCGTGCAAAAAGTTCTACAACTGTCTGATGAATATTCTTCATATTTCACCCAATTATCTCACAACATAAAGCTCCTGACTAATAGATAGTAACAAAAACCACTATAATCTATACCGCAATCTGTAATGTCGTTAAGAATTATTTAATCTTTCTATTAAACTTCACTAAATCTGTAAAATAATAATTAAACTTGTTAAAACGTTGCGACCATTCAATAGCCACAAAATATTGTATCTAACCATCAGTGCACTAAATACTTCCGCAATCAATTCTACTTCAATAACTCCCCCGAAATCTGTTTCAATGAAACACCGCTATCACCTCGAATCTCATTCAAACCCAAATTCTTCATCCCCGTCTGCCTCGACGCTCGCCAAGAACAGACTCCACTAAAAATTCACGAATAACATTGTTCGCAGCCGGTTACGCGGCGGGCCGCGTTAATTCCGCCAGAGTCGGCGTAACCCTCTAATCACTTTAATCAAGCCGCTAGAGATTCCCCGGATAGAGTGACTTTAAAGGAAACCCGGCCTGTCGCGCATTAATTACTCTGAAAACACGAAAGGAGCCGCGCTCAGCCCGATCTCTGACCTCCTTCCTGGGTCGCTCGTCGCCACGCACGCGATCCCGTCGTCAAAGGCCACCACCGAAGGGTGAGATCCTTACGCCGCCAATGGCCGACCGAGGCCGGATAAAGCGCGGATATTGCGACGCCAGTGCGAACGTGGGAATCCACGGCTGCTATCCGCTCAGCCTCATTAATGATGATGTGCTAGCCACCCAGTTGCACTTCCATACCACCCTGTCCTCTATCCCTCTTTCTTCCTCCTTCTCTGTCTCTTGCTCACGCACATCCACACCACCCTCTACATATTTCAAAGTGTATGCCTGTGTCTAGAGATCCTGTCTTCTTCTGTGGCCCTCTCTGTCTCCTCTCTTGCTCTCACTGTCTCTTTGCTAAGTTCTCACTATTTCTACTCCTCTCTATCTACTTGGCCCTCTATTCCTTTCAGTCTATTTCCTTCCTACTCTCTGTTCCTACTTCTCTTTCTCTCTTCCTCTCATTATCCAGTTGTTTCCTTCTATTTCTACTTCTCTCTATCTGCTTAGCTCTCTCTCCCTCTTTCTCACATTGCCACTGCTTCGTCCTCTCTGTTTCCATTTCTCTCTCTATCTGTTTCAATCTCCCTCTCTCCCTCTGCTCGTCGCACACCCTTCTCCACCGATATCTTGCCGAGCAGGAGAGCCAGTGGAAGCTGACGCCCGGCCAGCCACCTAGCGTTCACCCTCCTCCCATTCCTCTCTCGCGGCGGATTCAACCCTCCTACAGCTCGGTCGACCTACCTACCCACCGCTGTGTCCCCCGCAGGACCCCGTGCCACCGGGGATACAGCTCGTACATCTCGAACAGGCCGTAGCCCGTCCACGAAACTCAATTCCGCGCAACCTGCGTGGACTTTTTCGCTCCCACCGTTAAGTTCCTCGGTGATATTAATAGGAAACCGCCGGTCGCACGGGGGAGGGGAGAGAATTCTATTAAGGGATGATTTGTGATTCCTGGTCGCGATCAGCGAATTGATTCCTCGGCCGTTCGGGGGAGGATAGAGGGTGGTGGCTTGGCAGCGGTGGAAGTGATGGGGTGTTTCCTGTGCAAATGAGGCGACGAATTCAGAAGAGCTTGGATACCTCGCGGAATCTGACTTCGAGAGGTTTTCGGTGGGAAATAGAAATAATCCTCGTTCAGAGATCGATTTCCGTTGAATTAGGACGGCATCGAGGGGCGGTTGAGTACTTATTAGCCACGTAAATACTGCTAAATGAGTCTAAGTTGTCCTTCTTTTGATTTTTAGCGTTTAATATAACATTGTTTGCATTTTATATTCGCGAAGAAAGAATTAAGAAGAATAAAAATGGAATGAATGTAACAGAACGTTGTGTCTGACCACTGTTGGCTGTTTCTACTTAAGCGAAGAGTTCATGGTTACCGATTTCTGCGAAGGATAAATCGTTCTCGTGAAGAATTCCTTCAAGCACAAAGATAATATGCGTATGTCATGACTAATGTTTAGCAGTACAACATGTACGTGGTCCGAGGAAGCCGAAACCTCACTCAATAATTTCTGAGAAACAACAGTCGCCGATGGAAAACAGCGATCGATTAAGGACTGGTCCTGGCTCTGGCTACGTTTTGCTACCCTCCAGGTGCGTTATGTAATAGGTATTTTCCGTTAAAACGTTCATCTCCCATCATTCGCATAAATTGTCGACAAATTTCCATCGAGTCACCTTCAGCGAAACTATACACTATTCCGTCGTCTTAAAGTTTGAGGTCGCCCATCATAATTGTATCAAAAGAAAAGAAAATTGCGAACAGAAGGAGACTTGTAAAATCGAACAAATTCAAATTGGATTAGAATAGCTGTCGGCAACATAGGAAAACTCTGTTGAATCATAGAACAGGCTGACCCGAGACTTTTGGACGGAGTGTAGCATCCGAGAATTAATGAAAACGTAATGACCGTAGAAGGTTAAGGTACGGCCAAAGGATCATGTCGTACCCACGACCAGTGGGGCTGGTGCAGAAACCACCGGAGGACTCTCAATCCCCTGTATCGCTGGGTCTGTCGCATTCTCCTTCGGCCACGACCCTCTACTCGGCGCCCCCGAACGTCACCCTGCCGCCGCAACTGCCCCTCCTTCAGATACTAATGTCCGCCGAGAAGTGTCAGGTAAGTAATTCAGCTCAATTTGCTCGGCCCCGTGTTTCCCCTTCGCAAACTTTCTAACGACAATCGAGCAAATCCCGCCTCTCTTTTGGCACAATGGGCTGGGACCGACGGTCCTGGTCCGCTTTGTCGCATTCTCCGCTTTCCAATTCTAGCCTGTTGCTCGAACGAGAAAAATTGAAGATTTCTGCCTCCAATGATATCTCATCTTCCTTTTTCTATAATTTCTCTCTTGTGAAAGACGTATTTTTATTTGCCCCTCGTGAAGGAACTTGCATGGAATGCACGGCTACAACCGGAATCGGAATATTCCCAGGAACAAACGGAAACGAGTCTAAACTCGTCGGGGACTTTGCAAACACCCCCTACACCTATTCGAGAGTCGTTACAGGTAACGTTCTCTTTATCGATTAGTTTCGAACAGCCTGAGTTACGACGCAATGAAACGTGTGTATCGATGTAGACGAGACATTTCATAGAATCGAAAGGAAAGCCTTACCTCGGTTTCCTATGCGTCGCGTTCAGAAAAGGGAAAGCACTTTTTTCAATTCGCCAGGAAACCACCGCTCGTCTATTGTTCATGGCCGTGAGATGGGTTCGATCTCTCCCACCTGTCCAGGCGCTTTCGGAGAACGATCAGTTGCTGCTGCTGGAGAGTTCTTGGACGCAACTGTTTCTTCTTCATTTGTCGCAGTGGTTCACATCCTGCAATATAACTGGATTATTGGAGGACGAACAGATACGGGACAGATTATTGAAGGACGATGCGACGACGAATCAAGATTTAATCACGATTCAGGTGATGCGCGGTTGATCGTGGTTAAAAGACTTTCGTCCAGTGAAATCGGGTTGTAATTCGGATTTCTTTCTTAATGTTGTAGTCTATAATATGCCGCTTCAGGCAACTCGCTCCTGATGTTGGGGAATGCGGATGTATGAAGGCAGTGGCGCTGTTCACTCCAGGTGATATTACATAAGATACTGGTTAATTCTCAATTGAGAATTCCGAAGTTTCCTGTCCTAGCGTTTCAGTCGATAATAACCTCACTTCAACTTGAAAACAGAACATTTTGACTCTTTTCTCAGATTGGAAATATAAAAATCAATATAATGTCTGTTATAAATATTTAATTCTTATATTTATAAATTCGTTGTTATTAATTCAAACTGTGCATAATATTCTGTTGCATACGTATCTTTATCTTTCGTACAACTACGTATATATTTTCGAATAACGTAAACGAAATTGCCTCGCAGAAACGGAGGGCCTGCAAGCGGTGGAGACGATCAAACTGTTACAGGATCAGGCACAGTGCATCCTGGGGGATTACACGTCGACGCGATATCTGCAACAATCGGGCAGAACCGGGTCGCTGATGTACCTGGTCGGATACCTGAAGTCTGTCAGCTCGAAAATCGTCGAGCGGTTGTTCTTTCACGAGACCATTGGCGAGATTCCCATCTCCCGTTTGTTGGTCAACATGTGTCACATGTAAAAATCGAAGGGACTGTTCGTCGCGGAGGAACGATTACACACGGCTTTCTAAAACTCTTCCGATTCTTCAAGCCGGTGTACTATATAGAGAATGAGAAAAGTTTTCGAAATCTGTAGCTGAAGACTGTAACTATAGGTGTATGAAAGAATCTCGGATCTACCCGTGACCGACTTAGATTTTACACGGCTCTTGTGATTACTTTGGAGGCGTAGAGGATAAGTTGCAATAGGGATTGTAGACTAGGGCTGAAACTACTCGGACGAATTTAAGTATTCCCTGGGCGACTGGTCGTTGTAAACTTCTCGTACTCAAGACGAACGAATTTCAAATTCGAATGTCATTTAAAACGGAATAATTTAATGTAATATCAGAGGAAGTAGTTTCAGCCCTGTATTAGGCTGTTGAGCATCCGTGTTTAGTTTAGTAATGTCGAAGAAGTGTTTGTATACGCTTTGTTAGCGTTATCATTTGCAATAGCATGTTGTGTAAATTACTTTCTATGAAGTATTAGATAATCTTCGTGGGAAAGGTCGATGGCGGAAATTAAGAATGATAGGCTGTAACGGATTATTCGTTTTAACGAAGTTATTTAGATGTAACGTTTGTATAGTATCTTAGACTAGTCTGCTGTTTTAAGTACTTTGTATTATTAAACGATATTATTCATTAGTTATTCGCGCATAAGTGATGCATATCAGAGAATTATTGTATTTATCATGCAATGCTCTCTTATGGTTCTTATTTGTACAGAATATTTTGTAAATTAGTATATCCCATGTACAAATTCATGTTTCTACAAATAAAACATCTTTTCTGTTGTTTAATCACATTAGATTTATTTTCAGATTGAACAAAGAAGAAGGAACGAGTTTATTAAGAACTATTTCGTTTGAAAAAATGTTTGTCTCTTTTTAAATAAGTTTTTTGTTCTTAGAATAAAGTTTTTGGATCTTAGAAAATAAACATTGTTCTTTTATATAATATTAACACAGAAGTCATTTATACCTGTAAAATTGTAAAAAACACAGACTATAGACAAGAGTTTCCTTATTAAAATTAATAGTACTTTCTCTATTGAATTCCACATTGATGTAAAAAAATTCCAAATGTCATTCAGTAAATTAGGTTTTAAAAAACTCTTTTGCTACGAATAAATAAAAATTATTCCTTCCATGCGATTCATTTCAAATTTGCCGCTCGTTGGTGCGCTAGCAGCGACAGAAAATGTAACCGGTTGTGTCCTCTTTGAGAAACATAATCTATGATTTTTAAAATGCCGGCACCCGTGCCTGATGTGTTGAAAGCATGATTGTGTACCTTAACCTAACTTTTTATGTATAAACATTATTTTTGATTTCTAATGAAGCGGAAGGATGGCGCACAGTAAGATATTTGTAAAGAATCGTGCGTTAGGATATGTCAGTAATCATATTCCTTTAGTGACGAGATATATTGATCGACGGAAAGAGAATCTTATAGTAACATGTGTGGGTAATTCGTTTAACACGTACGGCTGTACACATTTCGCACTGCTTAGTGTGTCAGGAACACATCCAGGTGAAATTACATCTTTATCAGCGGACAGATATCATATTTATACAGCATGTGAAAATCTCATATATGCCTGGCGGAGAGGAACAGAGTTGAAGCACACTTACACAGGACACGAATGTACGGTGCATAGTCTATTACCTTTTGGAACACATTTAATATCTGTTGACGATGATAGTAATGTTAAAGTATGGAATATTAAATCTGAAGAGCTTCTTATACAGCTGAACTTCAGCAATGATGTATTTAAGATAACCACAATGGTTCATCCCAATACTTACATGAATAAAATATTATTTGGCAGCGAGCAAGGCCAAATGCAGCTATGGAACTTAAATATTGCAAAATCTATTTATATATTTAATGGTTGGAAGACACCTATAACTGCATTAGAACAAGCTCCTGCCATTGACGTTGTAGCTGTGGGTTTGAGGGATGGAAGGATCATTTTACACAATCTAAAATACGATGAAAGTCTTTTTGAATTGATACAGGATTGGGGTGCTGTTATATCCATTTCTTTTCGCACTGATGGTCATCCAATTATGGCTACAGGAAGCTTAGAAGGTCATATTGTATTTTGGAATTTGGAACAGAAGAAAGTAGAAAGTCAACTTTATAAGGCTCATTTTGGAGCAGTCACTGGTTTAAAATATTTATCAAATGAACCATTATTGGTATCATCATCACCTGATAATTCTTTGAAATTATGGATATTTGATTTAGCTGATGGTGCTGGTAGACTTTTGAGAATTAGAGAAGCTCATGCTGAACCCCCTACTTTAGTCCGTTTTTATGGTGGAGGCAAGAATATATTAACAGCTGGAAGTGACTCTTCCTTAAGAATATTTTCCACAATTACGGAAACACTGAACAAAAGTTTGGGAAGAGCTTCATTTAACAGGAAAGCTTCAAAGAGGAAAGGAAGAACTGTTGATGATCCTTTGATAATGCCTCCAATAACTACATTTGCTGCAGAAACAACAAGAGAAAAAGAATGGGATAATATTGCTGCAACCCACTCTGGTTTGGGTACAGTTACTACATGGTCCTTCTGTCTAGCAAAAATGGGAAAACACAAGTTGTTTCCAGAAAAATTTAAGGCCAACCGTAATGTATTTGCAACAACTGTGTGCTTGACACATTGTGGAAACTTTGTTATCATTGGTTACAATACAGGTCATGTAGAAAAGTTTAATATGCAATCAGGAATACACAGAGGCACTTACGGAGATGATACAGGGGCCCATAAAGGTCCTGTAAAAGGTGTAATGGTTGATCCTTTGAACCAGACTGTGATTACTGCTGGCAGAGATTGTTTCATAAAATTTTGGGATTTTAAACCACAGAAAGGTAAAGGAAATAAATATCTGTGATCTAGCACATTATATGCAATTAATGATTTTGTAAATGTAACTTACATATTATATTTTTAAGAACCAAAAATAAAAGTAGAAATGGAAGAACCAATTGAATGGTTAAGATATCATGACGACAGCTCTCTTGTAGCCATCGCTTTAGAAGATTTTAGCATTGTGTTAATAGATCTTGATACAAGAAAGATTGTACGTCGTTTCGAGGGACATGAAGGACGATTAACGGACGCATCTTTTAGTCCAGATTCAAGATGGCTAGTAACAGCATCTATGGATTGTACAATCCGTGTATGGGATATTCCATCTTCAAATCTAATAGATATTTTTCAGGTATGTGTTTTAACACGTTTTTATAATTATTTAAATACATTAATTCCTTGCATTATTACTATTTTATGTCATGTTAGGTTCCAGAAGCGTGTACGTCGCTAGACTTTTCTCCAACTGGAGAAATGCTTATTACAACACATGTATGCAACCTTGGGATATATTTGTGGTCAAATCGTACCCTTTACACTTATGTCTCATTGAAAGCTATAAATAAAGACGATCCTATCCCAATGATTGGTCTTCCTGGTTCGGCTGCAGAAACATGTGATATCCAGGAAGATGAACTTGTCGACTCGGAACCAACATACGTTTCCCCAGATCAACTTCAAGACGACCTTATCACGATGTCTGGTTTTGCCAATTCAAGATGGCAAAACCTATTAAATATAGATCTCGTGAGAAAGCGAAATAAACCAATACAAGCACCTGAAGCGCCGGAAGCTGCTCCATTCTTTTTGCCAACAATTCCATCATTGAATTTGAAATTTGATTTTTCGGATGTTAATAATACAGAGACAAATAAAAAGATAATCACTCATCCGGATTTACAGAATCTAACTATTTTTAGTAAAGCTCTCTTAGCCGCCAAGGAAAACGAATTTGAAGAAATTATTGAAAAATTGAAATACATGAGTCCAACTTCTATTGACTTTGAAATTCAGTCGCTTTCAGTGGATCAGCAGACAACAGATACCTTATTACTTCAGTTTATGAAAATGGTGCATTGTATGATGGAAAAGAAGACAGACTTTGAATTAGCACAAGCGTACTTGTCTGTGTTTTTGAAGTGGCATGGGACTACGATAACAGAAACCGAATCGTTAAGAAATTATTTGACGACGTTACAGGAAGTACAATCTAAAAATTGGTTTCTATTACGAGATAAATTGTTCTATAATCTTAGCGTTGTTCAAGCCTTAAAAAAGATGTAACATAATATTAAATAGCAAACTGAATTATGACTATATATTTTCGAATGAGAATATAATCTCTTTTTTAAATACACTATGAAAAAAGAACGCTGATTATTTAGAAAATATTCAATTTATTGCAGCATTTTACGAACAATAAGATATATTATCACACACAGAAAGTACTTCATTACATACTTATAGTTAGTTTTTATACAAGTTGAATGATTCCACTCAGTGAGCGTAAATGTATTTGTAAAGACTGCAATGATAAATATAACTTATGTATATAAATATAACAATTACAAAAATATTTTTAAGACTTTGTAACTATTTTGGAGTATGATAATATTTACATTATAGTTTATTCAATTTTAGACTACAAAACTTATTCTCTATATGCAAGGAAATTATGCAATTGTTCCATTGTTGGTGAATCTAATGCCAAATCTTCAATATAAGCTTCAAAATGTATAACAACTCTGTAGATACTTCGTTTTGTAGTGGCACATAAAGATTGAAAGATTTGTTTAATAAATTTATCATCTCCTTGTTTCTTTGCCATAATATTTGATTTCTGTAATTTATCAAGTGATTGCTTCAAGCCAAGTAATGTATTAATTATAAGTGGTAGATCCTTTTGCACAATTCCGTAGGAATCTTCACTTAAAGATAACATGGCTAAAGAAGAGATAGCTTGAATAGCCCAAATAACTGTTTGTCCATTAAATAAAATGTAGTATACTTCGCCGCCTTCAATTTCGCCAAAAACGTAAGAAATCAGAGGTTTAGACAGCAAGTATGCAAGTAAATTATTCCATTTCGTTTTTATGAATTTCTGAATAAATAATTCATTTTCAACATATTTTTTCATCTCATCTTGTTGTGTAGATACTGGCGTTTCTTCTCTTACTAAATTACGCATGCGATACACGTATCCCGTTTGAAATGTGTTGCTCTTTGTTATTGTAGTTGAAGTTGAAGCATTCACAGTCAATGGCTCTTGCATTTTAACACATGCTTTATTAAGATCATCCGAAAACTTTTTAACAAGGCTAGTACATTTTTCTACAATGCAATTCCAATTGTAAGGATGACCACCAGGTTGACTTAATGTAAACAGTATACTCCTTCTTGACTTTTCTTTTTGTGCCATGGTAACTAAATCCAAATAGCCTAATTGTTGCATTATTGGTATCTTATCCATAGACAATGCTTCAGGAAGTGTAATAGCAGAGTCATCATTATTAAACACATTATTCTGTTTGAATTCAAAAGGAACCCATTCTGTTATATATAAATTAAACAACAAATACATGGTTTCGATTGTCAATATACAAATCAAATGATATAGCCATAGTTGGAAAACCAATGATAGACTCATCAGCTTAGAAATGCTATTCAATGGTTCATTTTCTAATTGTGCAGATGAAAGAAACAATATTATAGATCTACAATAAGAACCCAAGAAATAATAGGCAGTTAAATAATATAAAACTGGCCATACACATTTTGCCATTAACGATGGAAGCATTGAACACATTTCTGTCTTTAATCGAAATACTTTTGACAAAGATATAATTGGAAATTTCAAATAGTTCATACGGAAGAGGCTAGATTTTAAGAAAAAATATAGTCCACTCCAAAATCCACTTAGGAACATGATATAACGTTCTTCCACCAAACAAGTTCCATATACTATTTTACACTCTGCTGTCAGAAAACTGTATGTGCCTCTACTGACTGACAAATGCAACCAAACAAGAAGGCCACCAATGATGACATGTAAAGCACATAGTAGGATGTTCTGCGTTGTAAACATTCCACAAAATTTTGTGAATCTGCTTTTCATATAAGGTGGAGTATTCGAGAAAGTTTTGCTACACATAATTCCTTGAAAAAACGTAAAGGTAGCAAGAATACAAAAAGAACTCCACATGCGAATCGAGGTTACTGCTGACCATGTACTTTGAAACCACGATTCATAATTTGTGCTCAAATTCGTAATTAGAAATAACGAACATATAAGAATAAATTGTACCATTATACTGGAAATTATGGCTAATAACATCCTCTGCATTAATTCTTTGCATCCTTTTTTATTCGTCTGCAGCATCTTGTTTACTTGCAGTGATTAACCTTTACTGCTTTGACAATGTAATTTAAACTTGCTTTAACAAATTAATGCACCACGTACTTTTTACACTTGCATTTACTTGAACTTGTTAATTAACTTCATCACCTTGAGTGTTCAATTTTATATTATTATGAAAGAATAAAAACGATACACATGCAACTTTCAGAAGCCGGTACGCTTTTCCGTTAAATTCAAGCGCGCCTTTAGGGTTGTTTTCAAGAGACAGACATTAAGGCGAATATTTAATACATACATGAAAATAAATATTTAATAAATTGCTTTCAAGAATTTACAGATATTTTAATATATATTATAAGTATTATTCGATATATAATTCAAGTAGTTTTATTAATCAATAATTTTAAAGTTAAATAAGTTTAGGTTCTCGAGATATTTTTGTGAATACACATTATGCACGTAATTTAATCCTTTCTATATACTTTATACTCTGTGACGCTGATAAAGATATTAAGTCATGTATTTGATTAGTTTTTGAACCCTGACAGGAACTATTCATTATTCAGTGAAGGTTGCCTTACTAGTAACATCATTAATTAACCCGCATGTCATTTTCAATTCGTCTATTTATGTGGTATAAACAAAATGGATTAAAAGTGTATAAAAATTAGTTTTTACTATTTTATGAAACTCTAAAGTGCTCGCCGTCATGTGGAAGTGCCATAAATGTGGAAAACCTGTATATTTCGGTTAGTTCCAATCATCGTACATATTAAAAAGGCATACTAATTTTGACAAGTACTATTCCTTGTCATTGGCATGAGCTGATTTAATTTTTTTAAATAAACATTACATGTACATATTTTTCAAATAAGAAGATTACTTAAAACCTGATTTACTCATGTATTGATAAGATATTTTATCATTAATTAAAACAATAGTTTTATAATTGTAACAATATGATGTTTATCTCTCTCATTTGACGTATTTAATCTAACAAATATTAAAAGAAAGTAATATTAATGTATTTTTATAATTTTACATTATTGCTTGAAAAATATTGTTATTGTATGTACCTAAATATATTTTGTAAAACCTTTATATGTCTTAAAATTTCTATATAATATTCATAATGTATCTATGTATTTGTAATAAAACTATTAATGGATCTTTAGCTGAACGCAAACAATCTTTGGGATATGATTGGCATCCAGAATGTTTACGTTGTGAAGAATGTGGGAAACGTTTAAACCCAGGCCAACATGCAGAGGTAAAATTGTTTGTTTCCAATTTATTCTTACCATGTTCTAATAATCTTAAATATTCACAATTTTTATTATAAATAATTAATTATAAGATACCGTATAATATTACTTTACATATTATTATATAGCACAAGGGTGTACCATATTGCCATGTACCTTGTTATGGTGCACTATTTGGACCACAATTATTTGGTCATGGAACACGAGTTGAATCACATACCAGTTTTGGAAAAAAAGAAGTTAGACCATCTTTACCTAGATCACATTTAGAATCAAAGTTGAAAGTTTTCAATCAGTATTATGAAGGCAAAAGTGGAGGAATAAGAAGTCGTGAGGTGATCAATTTCATTGTATAACTATGTTAATTAGGAAAATAGCTTAAGAAAGAGAAAGGTAGCTTATATTGCTTTTATCTAGGTCAATGGAAGATTAATATTAGAAGGTGCACTTCGTATTTATTGGGGTGTTAGAGGAGTAATCCATTTAAAAGAAGATGATGATCAACGTACAGTAGTTACAGCTCGGAATAGAAACTCATGCAGACGCAGTGTTTCTGATGTATGTATGCATTTTAGGCCAATAACATACAATTGGTAAATTGTTTGTATTTGTATAGAGTATAGAAGATGAGGAAAAGGAAGATAATTCAGTAAAAGAAACATCCGAGCAGGATGCAGAAACTGAAGCAAAATCTGCACCAACTTCTCCTGATCATCTTAAAAGTCTTACTTTACCAATGAAATTAGATGTTAAAAATATGGAATGGGATGAGTTAGATGAGCTCCTTCAGGTTGTGTAGCAATTTTTGAATTATGTATTAATCAGTCTCAAGCTATGTTGTTATAGTTTCAAGTTTCTTCTTGCAGGTAGAGCGTAAAGTTGAAGATGGGAATAAGTTATACCAAACAATGCCCGAGAATTTACCGTCGATAAGTTCACAGAGCAGTTCAGATGCGTTACCGCTTTCTTCTCAATCGAGCCTCGATAAATCCGATTCCCGCGAGAATTCAGAAACCAGTAGTCCGAATCATCAAACTAGCCGTGGTAACGATAGCAGTATAACTAGTACACCAACGCACAGTATAGGCAGCTCTTCCAGTACCGATACCCCCGTATATCATGGAACTCCAAATCGAAATGGAACGCTACGAAGAGTAGAGTACTTCGACAACTTGGAAAAAAATATATCTGGTAATAGGTCCATCAGTACTGATGATAGTTGGATAGAAAAGGGATTAAACCGTTCGATGTCAGGACCTGATTGCCTTCAGAGACATCGAACAGATAGTGACACGGATTCCGTAAATTCTCTTCAATTTAGAGAAGATGATAATATGACTATGTCTACCGATAGCGGATTGGAGGTACTTAGTAACTGCACTCTTGGAATCGAATATGTTTCTAGTTTTTAATATATATATATATAATTATGGTACACTATAGCTCGACGGTGTGGTCTTACGACGAAAGCAAGGATCTACTGCTATCAGACGTCGACCTGGAGGTCGACGGCAATCTCGTAGCCGTTTGCGACGTCGTTGTTCAATTAACGGTCATTTTTATAATCGTGAAACCAGTTTTTTTACTCCGCCGCATGGATCACAAATGTCCGTGTGGATTACAAGCCTAGTGAATACTCAAGAAGTTATTAATCTCATGTTAGATAAATATAAAGTTGATGCTAAATCGGATAATTTCGCATTGTTCGTGGTTCGTGATAATGGGGGTAGGTTCTAGTATAATAAAATCAGTAATATGTTTCTTCTCAGTATCTCTCTAATTTATTCATCTTTGTTTTAGAACAACGAAGACTGAGAGACGACGAGTATCCCTTAGAAGTTCGAGTAGTACTGGGTCCACATGAAAATGTTGCGCGATTATTTCTGTTTGATAAGCTGTCCACACCGGAGATCAGCTCTGACGTTGCACAATTTCTTAACCTCTCATTGGCAGAGTGTCATGGTATTTTGCAACGTTATCATTATGAAGAGGAACGCCAGATTCTTGTATTGAAAGAAAAGTACGTCTCTTTAAACAATATATAAAATATTACTTTATTACGCAGAGCATAATCAACCTTCATTCGTTTTGTTTCCAGATACAAAGAGATGCGACGAAGAATAAGGCAAAGAATGGAGGAGTTGAAGGTCCGACTATAGTTAGTATATATCTTTTCAACTAATATTTGAATACTCATATCATTACTTTTTTTTATTAATCCACAATTACAGATCGTTCGTTCTCTTTTTTTATACGTACACGTAAATTATTCGCCGTGAAATATTTTTTTGTAATCATTTTAAAGGTATGTATTACAGTAACAATGCATAACCTTTAACCCCTAATTCATTTGAGAGATCAAATGGAAAATGTTGATTTACGTTTGAGTGTATCGAGCGGTAACGTACTAACACCTTTAGTTTAAAGTCTTGTTGCTACATTATCCAGCTCTATTCACTTGTTTGCGTCTTTATTGCATTTCTCTGTACTCAATATGCGCATTATATTATTGAACAAATCAGTGCAATTTAATTAGAAAATTATATATGTAAAGGACATATGTTTTATGTCGACTGTGCATTGAATGGTAGTCACATATAATCATGTGACCCGTTCTTTAATGCGATTTCCTCTAAATTGCTGATTGTTATAGACACAGAATAGGACATAATTTGTGATAGATGAAAGAAAAAACGAATGTAATTCTTCGTGCAAAAATGAATTAACAATGACGAAAATATTATACTACATCTTCGATTTACGATTTTCTTGAGGAATTATCTACACTCCGTTTGAATCGCAAATTACGTCCTTATTTTGTATAATTGCTTTGTTTTGATTGTTTATATTATAATCAGTGATATCGAATGAAATCATTGTCACAGCTGATAAAGGGCTGATAAAGTATCCGTGTAATAGATAGACACCGATATTAAGTCAATTTATAATGACTTCCGATTAAAACGAAGAGGATTTTTTATATGAACACTTGTCGCTGTTTAGAGTGTACAATACAATTACAACGCAAGGCTGTCCAACTTTTTACCTCGTGAGAACCGTATTCTACGAAATTATGTTTTCACGTAGGTGCCAAAGTAAAAGGGAAAGAATAAGAAACTATTATATATTGAACGGTGAATGAAAAAATAGAAGTTTTACGATAAAAATTGTTGAATTTGAAATGGAAATATTAAAGAAGTCGTAAAGTTTTAAAATATATATGTATATGTATATATCGTCGCATAGACAGGTTGAGCTATGTAACTCTGAAATTTCAGGTATTTTTCTCCTTTTGTGATGTAAAAAAAAATGAAATGAGAATCGAATGTGCAGGTCATTTAAAACTAATTGATTATTAGTGACTGTATTAATGTCTACAATTTTCTGATACTTTGTTCTCTGAATTTTCGTGTCACAAATAAAAATGGCAGTATCTGTAATCTCAATGTTACGCGACTCATCCTGTGTGTATATATATTGTCTAGATGAAAATGACTATAAAACATTGTACCTTGGAATACACATCAGTTGGACAGCTCCGATCGAATCCATAAACAACAATGATTGTTATTAGCTAATAGCAATTTTCAATACGTGTCACTGCCGCGGTTGCTAACCAATTAACGACATTTTCATCGCAGCATAGTGTTCACGGTACCGAGAATGGAATTGCTTTAAACCTAAAATGGCTTCCGAAATCTCTTTGGAAAGATGTTTGAATCCGCATGATCTAACCGTGGATAATTCACGAACATTCTTTCCGTACAATGGAAGACAATAACCACTGAGATTATTTAAAATTCCAACACCGAATAGCATCGTTAGTGCAATCTGTTTCACTTTCGCGATCTGTATCTCCAATTTTCTACTTTAACACGTGAAACGTTCATGTTTGATGGAAAAGAAGACGTTCTGGAATAATCTAATTATACTGTTTAGCATAAATGTATCAATTTTAGAGACATCGCGCAAGAATCTTCTATAATCGTCTTTACGCAATTTAATCGTTAGATACGCGGCATTTCGTTGGCATCTTCAGCATTTAGATTCTACAAAGAGAAATCTCCCATTGAAATTTCTGATGCATTTCTAGAGACCACTTTCGAAGTGTCTCGAGACGAGTAGCTCGTTCAAAATTCTCAATTGACATCTAACATTACGAAAGTATCGTTTCCCTGTCTCTGAATCTTAAAAATTAGATCTATTATTTTAAACGTTGTTTCGATAAATCACTACCATTGGTGTCAGTTTTTGAAAGAGAACCAAGTTCTATCATCGAATAAATTAGTTCGTGCAATATTTGCCCCAAAACCAGAGATCTCTTATCAGCACCCCTGTTATGTATGTAAAAGATTTCTAACTTCCTTGTGTAAACGTGGTCCAGGTTACTGGAGGTACTTACGCACAAGTACGACTGTACAGCGATAACAATGAGTAGTGCACAGTGAACCGAATTCTCCCCGTGTAAAAGATGTACAGCGACCGACACGCAACGGTGCAGATCGATTGCCGTTGTTTACGACAATAGACACTGATCGTATAATCATAATTTTAAGCTAGTCACAGTTCTTGAATAGTCACACAAAGTACGAGACGTCGCGATCGTGCTTGCGATTCAAGCGTGCTACACGCATTACACGCTTCGAATTTTATCCAGAGACTCCTTTTATCATTTATTGTTTTACTATGTTGTTTAATCATATATATAAATATACATATATTAATTCATATTTTGTAATCTATAACACTAATATAATACTATATATGACTATTTGTTCTCCAGTTGTAATCTGGGAACAAATTTTATATTGACTCGTTAATTACCATTTTTTTTATTCTTTTATCGATAACCCAAAGTCCGATGGACACTACTCTAGTGAACTCTCGGGCTGCTATTTTACTCGTATATATCATATTCTGGGATATAATCGACTACTCGTTTGAAAGGATGAATGTGTTCACCGAATAAAATGCAAAGAAAATTTCGATTAATTTCTATCGAGTTATAATTTACATTTAAAATAGGTTTTACGAATAATTGACCGGACGCTCGAATCGCAATACGACCGCCTCGCAAAATAGAGTCTGCATGCGTATTGAATCCTCGACATATCTCGGAACGAATTCGAAGGTGAAACTCGATGGAAAGTGGGACGGGATTAGAAACGACATAATCGTGGACTGGGCCACGTGAAGCTAAACTGTACACGTTTCTTTTTTAACAAAACACCACGCGCTTCGTTTGCCATGTTACGATAACAAACGTCCGAGTTACGGCGACCGCGTGTTCGACGAAAGATCTCGCACGATCGGACGATCTCTCGTCGAATTATAAAGTTCTCTTTAGTTGTTAAGGTAGCTTCTGCTAGCTTTTAGGCGAAATGGTAATCGATATTTCGTAAGAATGTATGATGATCGATATTACAATTGTCTCTTTGTTTTCCTATGATTAGTTAGGCCGTCTATAACGGTTGCCAAATATTTTTCGCACCGAGTCTATGCGTGTGAATATCAAGTTCAACTGGACAGTGAGCTGGCAAAGTAGATCGTACAGATTATTTTTAATCGAGGTGTCAGTTTTCCATGACCAATTGTTAAAATGTAAAGTGCATGTAAAGGATATACGAAGACGACAGCGTTAAGAAAATGTATGTTCGTACCGTCTAGGGAAATCAGATTTCATTAGTAGCTAGGAAAAAGGGATTGATCGGTGAAAATATTTGGCGTCCATCGTAGCGAATCTTACCTGGAGTTCTGCGGTTGGATACGTGAAATGCATTTCACAAGGTAGATGGGAAAGGAAGGATAATATACAGAGACAGAGATTATCTATAGTATAAAAAAGTAAAGAATGGAAGCATTTAATCAGAGATTAATAGATTTTAAATATATTCCGTACCATGGCATATGACAACTAATGATATATTGACAAGAATACCGATGCTTGACGTGTCGAATTGTAACAGAGGTACACTGGAAAGTGTGCAGTCCAAAACACTGAGTATACATAGATGTGAGATTGTAAAATATTACGAATGCATCAGAAATCTGTATGAGATCGTTGAGATAGTAATAAAGTGATTGCTTCTTTTTTTTAGGAGCTCTTTTATGCAGTTTCCCGACATCGAAATGAAAACGTTTCCCTTTATCTGAAATCCTTACGAAACGATAGTGTCATTTAACGGTGTTTAGTTGTAAGTTATCGATAAGTTGTTTCTTTCTGAAAGCATTTACGAATAGGCGATAATTTCGACGAATTATACCATATGTTAATTCAGTGTTCTGAAATATAATATTTTTCATTAACAAAAAACAAACGATTTTAGTTTCTTCTCTATCTCGAACGTCTCGTTGATCTGCTGTAACGATCGTATAAATGGGGTTCGAGAGAAAAACGCTCCGTTGAGATTGGACAGAATGTATTTATTTATCTTTGAAATACGTAGAGTAAAGTAGATCAATGCAATGTTATGAGTAGTATCGAGTAGTAATTGTCATACGAGTTGCTAGGAACGAGTATGTATACCCACAACACCGAGGAGCTCA